CTTCAACACATCTAATATTCTTGCTCACCTTTCCCTGGATTATATGCCTCTCATTTTAGTTTCTTTTTGGCCTCAATGTCAAATAACTCCTCCATTCTTTGCAGGCTCTATAGCCCTACTTTTCTTGTAGTTACAGATATTACCTTTCACAATGTCTGTTATCATTTTCTATGCAGACTGTGGAAAAAACTGTTTAAATAATTCATCTAAAATTAATTATCCATAAACTATTAAATTTGCATTCTCTTTTCCTATTTTTGTAAATGGAATGAATGTACAGGATGTTTTATTTTTCCTAGTGCAGAAATGAAAGCTATGACAATGCGTAACCAGACCATGAATGTCAGAAACAATCAAGGATAAAGTAAAACTCTTTGAACAATGGAAGCAAAAAACAATAAAATCAAATTATTCAGAAAAAGGATCAACACTCTAAAATAGGAACTATTTTTTTCTGAAATGAGGTTCAGAGTTAATGCAGATTATTCTTTGATGACACTGAGTCGTTAAATTGTGTGCTACTAGGGGACAGGCCTATTCATCTTCATCATCCATAGTGATTGGCAGAGTTTTATACATAATATGATCTTCAACAGTACCTGCTCCATTTAATGTGAGACTTCCAGCAAAAATCACATACATACAATGAAATACATGACAACATTCTACCCACTTGCATTGCAAACTAAGTTTTTCAATTTTTTTCTAAAAAAGCATTTCATGTGGAATTCTTATTGCTATAATGGAGGAGAGATCCTATACATATAAAGAATTTTCAATTAATATAGAAATAATTTAGAATAGCTAAAAACAAAGCCCTGCCTGGTTTTCCTTTGCAGTCAAAAGTGCTACACAATCCATTCTTTTTGTTTGAATAAAGGAGTCAGTTAAGTGGTCAAGTTTTAATAAACCGATATTATGATTCCAATCTCCCTCTGTGTTGGGTACAGGGCATTACTATTAGAGAAAGTGCTTGGATGTGAACAATGGACAGTTGGTCCTTCCAACCTTAAAGCACAGAGAAAGAAGCATTGAATCTGCTCCTTTTACAAAAGCTCTGGATTATATGTGAGATGCAATAACCGTCTCGAAACACGGAGCCTTTTGTGCTGGTGATTTACAGAAGTGCTTTATTTTTTCTTTTCAGTTTACTTATAATGCAAAATTAAATGCCTTCATGTTTTAGGGAGGCAAGAAAGGGGCTTGAAAGATGTCTGAAAGATGTCTCAGATCATCAAGCTCAATGGGAAGATCAGAGCAAATAGGAGAAGCACAAATACAGGCCCCACGGAATTTCCCAGTTGATCAAAGGGGCCAGTGAATACCACAGGTAGGGCCTGAGGGGAAGCAGCTCCCAGAGATCACTGTGCCTCAGAGTCAGTGCAGGGATGGCAGCTGTTGGGAAGCAGCATCACTAGAGAAAAAAAATTGTGAGGGAGCATTCACAGCACAGAAAAGGGGCCAGCAGCAGCAGTTCTCTCCGGTGGCAATTTTAGACATGTATGACTTGCTTCACATCATTTTCAGGGAAGGAAATGCCCTCTCCTGGGATTCCTTTACTTGGCTTGCCTCTTTGTAACAGGGACATTCCATGAGATATCCTTTGAGATCCCATGATTTCTCCAGGACAAAGACACAGGAGCTGCCCTGCTTTACCAAGCCTTCCCCTGATGGTCTGTCCACAGCCGAGGGTGGAGGATAATAATAATATGAAATTGATTAAGTACTTACTCTAATTGCACTGAACTTTTTAAATATGTGAGTCACAAATTACTAGACAATGATGAACATATTGGAAGGTATATAATGACCAAGTTTCTTTCAACTTCCCTCCCCCAATTACTAACTCCAAAGGTTCAAGTGTTCAGTAAACCTGATAACGGTCACCAAAATAAACCTGTCCCATGTTTGTAGACTGCTGAACTGAGACTGCCCATTAAATATACTACATATAATGGGAATAGAGAAGATTTGGGGAAGAATATGATTTTAGTCCTGAAAATTTTTCTAAACAAAAGAATAAAAGATTCACAGGTGACTACACCACAGTGAATCCCACCATCATGTACATCCATAAGACTGGGGCCCTAGTTACAATAAATATTTTCCATGCATGTATAATTTCATCAAAATGGACTCTGCTTTCACGTGTAACTAAAAAGAACAAATAAAAAAAGAGAAGCGCAAAAAGATGAAAGCCTTTTGGGAGTGAATATATTGGGATGGGATGTATCTTTATGTCTTGATATAAGAAAAGTAAGGGGCATCCCTTAAGGTTAAAAAAAAAAGTCTTTGGAGAAAAAATTATTGTTTTTCCTCAAAGTCTTATAGAATTCAACTATTTCATGCATAAATCATTTGAAAACAGGTTGATAAATTAATGGAAAGCACATTCATAATGGATTAATAAGGAAAAATGATTTATTAAGAGAATTAATCTTAAATATCGACAGAAACTATCCATTGATTTTACTGTGAGAGAAAACAATAAACTTTATGGATTGTGGATATGGCCCAGTATAGTAGTTCCTTCCCTTTTAGCAAATGGCCTAAACTCTAATCTTTCTCTACTCACAAGCTTTGTGGTTTTGTCCTCAAATGGAGTACAACTCAAATCATGCTTTGGCCTGCAATGTTTCTAACTCAGGCCTAGCCCCCAGGTGTCAGCATAACTATACAAATGGGGTTGACATCCTGGTTCAGATGTACCACAGTCATGCTACAACTCCATTCTGCCGTGAATTTTTGTCTCAAAAATATAGGAAACAAAAAAGGAAAATCCAGTAATATTAAGACTCCTGACTAAATAATGAAATGGAACTGGTATGACCCGAAAGGCCATCCTGTATTCAAAGAGTAAATTTTCAAGTTTCTAAAAACACTTGATTATACAGTCAGTGCTCCACATCCACAGGTTGGACATCTGTTTATTCAATCAGCCACCAAACATATTCAGAAAACTAAAACACTGCTAACTGACTCAAACTGTATTTGACCATGTACAGATTTTCTGTGTCATTATTTCCTATAAGCAACATGGCGTAACAACTATTTGCATAGCATTTAGATTGTATGGCTTTTATAAATAATCTAGTGAGGATTTAAAGCATCCAGGAGTATGTACCCAGGGTTTATGCAAATACTACACCATTTTTATAGAGTACTTCAGCATCCATAGATTTTTGTATCTGCAGGAGGTCCTGCAAACAATTCCTCATTGATACAAATGGACAACTATTTAATTGCTAATATATAAGGTTTTATCTTTTTAAATTTTTAATATTTATTTTTATGAGAAGTTTAATTTACATTGAAAATAGAATTATTTTGTATTTCATCTCTCAGGCAATATTTCATCAATATTCTCCATGATTCTTTTACAGGTGGTACAAGTGTTGTTCATGGACTTTAACATAGGTTTTGAATGAGGATGACATATCAATGACCATTGCTGGCTCTCAAGAATTGATGTGGATCAGGGGGCTGGAGTTGTGGCTCAGTGCTAGAGCGCTTGCTTAGCACATGTGAGGAACTGGGTTCCATTCTCGGCACCACTTAAAAATGAGTAGAATAAAGGTATTGTGCCCATCTACAACTAAAAAAGAGAGTTAATGTGGGTCAGGAACCACTTGGAAAGATTATTAAAATATGGGTTCAGGGTAAGTTTAGTACATCTGCAGTGGGGCCTGAGAGTCTGCATTGCTGACAGGTCCCCAGGTCAGGCTGCTATTGCTAATCCAGGAACTACACATACATTTTAAGAACAAGATAAACAGAAATCAAGTTGATAAAAATTCTGAGATTTACTTCCAAATTACAAATAACTTATAAACAGACTGAAGACTCACCAACATCCAAGTTAGGGTCAACTCTTTTTTTTAATTAATGACCAAAGCAAAAGCGTTTTATACATAATATAGTAACTTTTCAGGTAATTAACAAATTTATAATTCAAAGTGTGCTGGTTGCTAAAAAACCTCTACCTGCTTAATTTCATTTTGACAAAAAAATTTGATGGAAAATAAAATAATATAAAAATTATAGTATGAAAACTAAAAGTAAAACTTTCTGTTTGCACATGGACATGCATATGCCCACTGAAGAAATCTGATTCAACGTTCACTGGGTTAATGAAAAGACCTAACATTCTGCCACCTAATATTATCACAAAGTAATTATAAGACTGTAAGGCAGTGAACAAATGGCTTGTGATTGGATGACAGGTAGATTTCAATTATAATTTTTGGTTGAAATGTTAAAATATTCCCTACTTTATTAAAATCTAGTTTATTACCATTGTGAATATCTCAATATCTCAGCATATTTTTACTTATTTGCAAATGAACTCCAAAGACATTCTTAATTGTCTGATGTTGGACTACTTAAGTGTTATGTACTTAATGGTATAGGAAAAAGAGCTTCAGAATTAAACAATGGCCAAATCTTTTCCAAAAAAAAAAATGTAAAACACATTTCTATAAGCTTGAATGCCTTAAGTTCTTCCTGTAAAATGTTGCAATAAGTATATTCAGTAAATTGGCTCCTTCTTTTATGTTACTGGGCATTACATTGTGTAACTTGTGTTCTTTCTGATTTTCTCTTTATACAGTGTGTGACATGTCTGACGTTATCTTGCAAATTGGAGACTTAAGGATTTACTTAAGTGTTTTATATGGTGAAGAATTATGCAAAAATTTTTATTAGGCTCAATAGAGGTTTCTAATGTTAAGTTCTAAACTTTAAATTTTTGTCATTTTCCAATGGCACTGAAGTTAATGTCCCTGCATGAGCTGTGGGACATATTCTAAAGTGCAATCAAGGTAATGAGGCAGGCGTCAGCCCGGCTACCTTGGCAATCAATCTTTTTGGTTCTCATAATCTCAAAATCACGCTCAACTCCCAGCCTATGCTTCTTTAGTCACTGACCTCGATGCCTGACCTCTCCTGAAGATTTATAATCAATAAATTATTGTTATTGTTTCTACAACTCATGTACTTACAATCAGGAGGCATCTTTTCCATAAATGTTGTGTAATATTCTTTCAGAAGTTCAAAATTTTCATGGTTAATACTTTCTTGCAAAGAGACATCTCCAAACCTAAAAGTAGAAAAAAGAAAGTACTTATGGATTGTAGAAGAGCTCCAAAAAGTAACATTTTTTTAATCGTTGCTTTATAAATAGATGACAATAGCTTCCTAAGAGAAAGTAACTCATTTTTTAAGCTACATTTCACAAATTTGATTTCAAGCCTATTCTAGTCTCCACGGCCCTGATTCCACCAATCACTCTGACAACACCAAACTAGTCTCACATCATCGCCTGTGAACTTTGACTAAACACCATATGCAAACATAACCCCCTGTGCATGTAGAAAACTAGTATCCGGTGAATGTTAATTTTCCTTACCCTGCACCTCCTCTTCAGGGCTGCATCTCTGCATGCATAGAAAATCCTCCCTCCCTCCCTCCCTCTCTCTCTTTGAATCCATTCAATCTTCCTCATTACCCATGGCAGCTTGGGAATGCTTCAGAAGACCAGGACAGGGCATTGTGCTGCATGCAGTCTTGTACACTGTCAACTGCCAGAGGAACATGGAGAGCCCTATACCCACAGAGAGGAGTTCACTTTTACAGATATTTTTTTCCTGCTAAATTTTAAGACCAACCTCTCTGTACCAGGGTTCTTTTAGTCCTTCTTTAAGATAAACCTTTCTACTCATGTGTCCCTGTCTTCTCTTTGACAATTTCCCAAGTTCAAAAGTCCAAAGGATGCTGTATAAATGGCTCCCAGTACGTATCTACATTCCAATCCATATTTCTAGATTGGAATTCTCAGTGTGAGTTGTGTCCCTCCTATACTGACTTCATGTGCAACATAACCCAAACCTGAATCCATTTCCTCTTATTGACTGTTTGTAGACCTATCCCCGATATCCTGTCATTTAACTGAAGTTCAAAATCCAGGCACCATTTTGGATTTCCTTTCGTTCCCCCATCCTACCCACTATTTATTGATATTTACCACGTCTGCTTTCCCTTCCTTTTTTTTCACTGTCACTATATATTAGGTAGTTAATTACTCTCCTCAAGCCTCCCAAATGCTCCAGTGATATACCTCCAGCCTCCTTCCCTTTTTGTCTATTATGTAGCATGACGAGATCATTCATTCATTCAATAAATATTTGCTCAGTATCAGCTGTGGACCCGGCATTGCATTATACATAAACCAAATGCTGAAAGAATCAATATCACCCTATCAGCTCACTGAACTTCAATGCTTCTCTTCTCCCTGTAATGACAAAGTCTGGTCCCTTTGTTCAGGACTGAACTCTCCACAAAAGCTATCAAACACACTCATGGGAGTATAGTTACACCCTTCTCCCTTCTCAGCATTGTCTTAACACCTCTGAGACTGTTCACATGCTCTTCCTCCTCTGACTAGAATGTCTAACCTTCCTTGTTGGCTTGATTAATTCATATTCTAAAAAGCAGGGAAAAGCTCTTGTTTTCCAAGGGATCTTCCACGTGGACTCATCTCCCATTTCTTTCCTATGCTATTTATGTCCTTTCAGCATCTTTGATGATTGCGAAAGTCAAATGTAACGTGGTGTTGGCTGACTCATCCTCCTTAATGTATTGTAGTTCATTCAGCACAGGTATCACATCCCACGTTTCTTGTCTCCCTCTGTCCCATAGCTGGACATGGCAGTGCCTGGCAGAGCCAATGTTTAATATCTGTATGAATTGAACTTGGAGAACATGAATATAGTCATAGGAAAATTAAAAGAGTTTCTCCAGACTGAAAATACACTTTTCTAACTTTTAAAGATACCAGAGTGAACTGGTGTTTTTAACATAGCATCCTCATTGAAGTAAGATTAGTAAAATCCATGTGCAGAAACCCTAACCCTAGTTTTGTTGTATTTAGTAATGGGGCCCCCCTCCGAGTAAGTGAGTTGGGCGTTATGGGTGTAGGCTCTGATCCTGTACATTACAAGAAGTGACACCAGAGAGCTCTGCACTATCTACACAAAGAAGAGGCCATGTGAGCACACAGGGGAACGTGATCAGACATCTGCCCTCATCAGAGACCAATGCAGCTGAGACCTGGCTCTTAGATTTCCCAGTCTCCTGAAGTTTGAGCAATTAATTTTTTTATCTTTAAGTTTTACCTTGTCTATGAGTTAATTCAAACCCCAAATATACCATACTCTAGTGTACCAAAAAAGTTTTGCTATATCAAAAAGACACTATTTATTAGACTGGTTCTTTTTGTCCCAAGTTGTGTGAGTTAAGTTCAGGAATATCATTTGATATGAGGAAAAAGATTATACACACACACACACACACACACACACACAATACAAACTTTTATACTGATTTTAAAAAGTGTTTAATTATCAAAGAAAACTTCATGTACAATACTATGCATACAACTATATTTTGATATATAAGTACAGTAAAGAAAAGAGACTAACAGCTTCCACATGGATTGAAATCAAACATAAAATACAAAGCTTCATCATCTACTTGTTAACTGCCAAATGAAAATTATGAAAACCTATGTTTTCCAGGAAACATCTTGTGGGTAAGAGGGAGAAGCAAAGAGAGAGTCTGAAAATAATAGCTAACAAGAGGCATGTTAAGCATCATTGAAATTCAAGAGAACTACAATTATAGCAGAAATGTTAGTTTAGTAAAAGACAGTAATGAAGATCTAAAATATATTTAACAAGTCATAGCAAGTAATATGCCACACACTTTAGAACAGTTACTTATGGGGAGTTAAGAAATCATTTTAAATACCAAAGACTCTCAGATTGTCCAAAGTTTACCTGTCAGAGACTTCTCCAGCCAGGCCTTTCTTTTCTTTTGTATCAGGGATTGAACACAAGAGGAAAACTGAGCCACATCCAGACCCCTCTTTTTTTTTTTTTTTGTATTTTATCTAGAGACAGGGTCTCACTGAGTTGCTTAGGGCCTTGCTAAGTTGCTGAGGCTGGCTTTGAACTTTCGCTCCTCCTGTTTCAGCTTCCCAAGATGCTGGGATTACAAGTGTGAGCTACCACATCTGGCTTAAACAAGATGATCACTTCTTTCTCTAAAATTTTTTACACCTGTGTTCTATAAACTTTTATCCACAGTTTCTATAATCTTTATATGTAAATTAGGTAAGGTGAAGAAGTTTTCTGCTCCGAAAGAATAAGTATTTTTTGACAATGCCTCATGGAATTGCATAAAGTCTTTCACTATTTGAGGAAGTCATTATTAAAAGACATGTTAACATTATCCTACTATAGTTATAATAATACATAAAACAAGGAAAAAACAGACTATGTTCATAAAATTTTAACACATATAACTGGATTTATAATGCCAATATATATATATGAACATAAAAAGTTCTCAAATTTAATACACACATTGTACTAGCAAGTGTAAAAAAAAAAGTTGATCCACGTGACTGCTTTGCTATTAGCCTCTACATGTACCCCAATTTTTTAAATTTAAATTTAAATTTGGGCCATATTTCCTTGAATATGAATATTTTACCTTGCTATATGGGTTAACTTGGAATTAATAAAATGCAGAATGGTACCAATAAATATATCTAAATCCTATATGCAGAATCATGTGGGATTTCCCCACATAGCCTAAAAAGGAAAAAAGAACAACTGAAATCAACCTTGTACCTGAAGCTTACCTCTCAGCAAGAGTTTGTTGTTCATTGATCCCAACATTAAAAAGTACTGGATGCACACGGAGTAACTGTCCTTCTTTAATCTGTGCAGGTAGCAACTCAAACATCGCAGTTGGAAGCTTGACCTCTACCACATAGTGTTCACTGCAGAAGGGAAGGACAGGGAGGAAGCATGGCTTATTTCGTGTTTCAGATCATTATAGATTCATTGGAATGTAGCCCAGATTTGGGGTTTTGTCTGCTTATTTCTATTTTCATTCATTCAAGAAGCATTCCTTCATATCCTCACCAAATTGCTTGGCACAGAGAATCACAAATATTTGTTTCCATGTTTGATTTCTCTACATTACTCTGAGCTCAATCAGGAAAGGAAGAATATTTAGTTCATTTTTTAACACCCAGGGCTATGTGCTTAGATATGGCCATGGTATTTGTTTTCTTGAGTTATTGTTAAAATCTCATCAGTTCCCAAAATAAAGAAAGTAATTGAATATTGGATATTGGATATTTTCAGTATAGTGAAGTCTGATGAACCAAATCATTTACAAAAAAAAATTTTGGCACAGCTCATTCATGATTATTATTGATAAACCCTGTTCGTGATAGCCTATTGGAAATGAAATGGTTCAATTATTTAAGGTGTAACCTTTGAGAGTCTTGATCATTTTGCAACATTCACATACTACTAGCATATTTTCTTTGGAAATCTTTATTAAACATTATCATTATGGAAATTAGTATGGAGGGTCCTCAAAACACTAGGAATAGAACTATCACATAACTTAGCTATACCACTCCTTGATATTTATCCTGAAGAATTAAAGTCATCATACTATAATGATACATGCATATCCTTGATATTGCAACACAATTCTTAATAGTTAAACTATGAAACTATCCTAGGTGTCAGTCAGTGGATGAATGGATAAAAAAATGTGGTATATGTATACAATGAAGTTTTATTCAGCCATAAAAAGATTGAAATTATGTCATTTTCAGGAAAATGGATAAAACTTGAGGACATTACATTAGGTGAAATAAGACAAACTCTGCAAGTCAAGGATTGCATGTTTTCTATCATATGTGGAGCTTAGAGAGAATGAAGACAAAGAAAGATGGGAGGGGAATGTACATGAAAATTGAAGGGAGATCAGTAGAACAGAGGAAAGGGACCAGGATGAGGGAGAAGAGGAGAGGAAGAAAAGGGGAAACACTGGGGAATGATATTGGCCAAATTATATTGTTATATTGTGTGCAAGTACAAATATGTAACAATGAATCCCAATATTACTTACAACTATAGTACATCAATAAAACGTTTTTTAAAAATAACCTTTAATGTTTAAAGTTGAAAATTTAAATCATTATTCATAAAATATGCTCAGCAAGAGTAGTTCCTCGCATACTTTGAAGTTTGTTGTCTTCTGATATAGCGTGAATTGTGAATGGAAATGTAGACTTCCTAGCTATGAAAGAGAATTGGGAATCACCATCAATCGAGCAAATATGGATGTTAACATTACCTTCAGATGGATGGACACATTATTGCTCTTTGCTTAATTGTTTCCAACCCTCCTTAGAATAGCACAGCTAACAGAAGGATGGGGTTTATTTCAAGTCTTTCAAGAATATTTAAGCATCAAAGAGACAGTACACATGTGCAAGTTACTCTGAAGGTGACACACTTTATGTAATTTTTCTGTGATAACTTTGTATTAGCTTAAGATACAATTGACATAAATGCATACATTTAATGACATAATCCAGAGCTTTAACAGGTTTACTGAGTTGTACAACCATAACCATAATCCAGTTTTAGAACATTTCCATCACCTTAAATGGATCTTTCATGCCTGTCAATCCCCTCTGACTGCCAGCCTCAGGAAGTCTCTACAGGGTTTATTTTTCTACATATTTCCTATGAATGGTTTCATACAATGGGTAGACTTTTCCATCTGGCTTTTTCACTTAGCATAATGTTTTTGATGTTACCCACATCATAGTGTATACCAGCAGTTTGTTTCCAATTACTAAATAGCATTCTACTTTATAGATACACTATAACACAATGTGCCGATGTTGTCATTATTTGATGGAAATTTGGGATATTTTCATGATTTGGGCTATTAGGAATAATGCTGTTGTGAACATTCCAGTAAAATTTTTTTGTTTGAACAAAAACTTTGTCTTCTTATGGGTATATACACCTACGAGTTCATACTTAACTCTGTGAGAAACTGCTTATTTCCAAAGTGGTGTACCGTTTTACATTTTCACCAATAATGTGTGAACATTCTAGGTTTTACATGTCTTTATCAACATCTGTTATTATCTAACTTTTTGATTATGATGATTCTAGTGTGAGTAAACTGGTAAATAACTGTGGTTTTAATTTCATTCTTCTAATGATTAATGATGTTAAGTATGTTTTCATGTGCTACAAACCATTCATAAAATGTATTTGATGAAATATCTATTAAAATTTTTGCCCATTTTTAAATTAGGGTTTCTTTTTTTTCATTTTTATTGAGATACAAGCTATCTCTAAATATTTTGGGAACAAGTTCTTTTCAAATATATGATTTTCATGTTTTTCAGTCGGTGACTTGTATTTTCATTCACTTAATGATATCTTTGATGCTTCAAAGTTTACTATTTTCATAAAGTCCTATTATCTGTTTTTTCTTTGATGCACCTTGATTCTTGTGTCTAAAGAACTCATTAGTAAGCCAACTTATATTTTCTCCTAGAAGTTTCATGGTTTTAGCTTATATTTTTAGATCTACATGGGTTAATTTTTGTATGTGGGTTCAAATTCTTGTATTTGCATATAGATAACCAATTGCTACAGCATCGTTTTTGAAAAGATTCTACACTCACCATTAAGTTATATTTCTTGAAAATCAATTGACTCTAAATATGAGAGTTTATTTCTGAACTCCAAATTCTGTTCTGATGACCTATGTATACGGATACTTAGACCAGTATTATACTGTCTCGATTATTATAGTGTTATTGCAAATTTTGAAACCAGAAAATATAAATCCTCTGTACAAATTTTGGGGAGTATTCTGGGTCCTTTTCATTTACATAAAATTTTACGTTATTCTGCCAATTTCTGCAAAAATGACTCCTGAGATTTAGCCAGAAATTATACTAAATCTATATAGATCCATTTGTGGAAACAAATGCCATCTAAACAATATTGAGTCTTCCAAACACTGAGCACAGACTGTCTCTCCATTATAACTGTATCATATTAATTTCTCTCAGTAATTATTTTGTGTGCTTGGTAAACACTTCCTAGACAAACCTGTTTAATTTATTCCTATTTATTCTTTATGATTCTATTGTGAATGGAACTGTCTAAATCACTGTTGTTTCTAACAATTTTCAAGACTGTGCTTTTTCCTGTTCTCCAGTGCAAATGAAGTCATTCTCCAGGACAGTGAAGCTGCAAAGGGTTAGTGAATGGGCTTTGTCCTGGTGAAACTGAGAGAGGGCAGTTCTGCCTGGTGGGAGCAGCCCTCAGGAAAAGCACCACAGATCCCCACTGCTTCTGTCCAATATATCCTACCTTTTCACGAATAACTGCTTCTAAAATTGTTGTATGCCTTTGATGGAGTCCTTTATTCCTAACATGGTGGTTTGAGGTGACTCCTCCCAATTGCAGGATTTGCCAAGCTACCCACGCTGTCATTCGGGGGGGGGGGGGCTGTTCCCATCTCTGTGACAACTTGAGAACTTAGATACTGCTTGAGGAGTGTCCTCAGAAAAAGCCCTCTGCACTTCATCTGCAAATGCCCTGGTAAGTGTCCCTTATAAATTGTGAGAAAAGTATCACCTTCTCACTTTTGACAGTAAACTTCACTGTAATACACAGAGCTGTACTATTTCCAAGTGTGTATATGGGCAATTTTATTCCTTTTTCTTCCAATGAATAGCAAATGAAGCATTAATCTCCAAATGAGATTTTTAATTTTATGAAGCTGAGGATTGGCTTTTTTATTTTCCTCTATGTGTAAGAAATAGTCACCTATCTTCCAACTGTGTGACTCTCGGCACCCTTCAAATAAACTTTAAATATCACATGTTTACCACAGACAGGAAGACAAGTGTATTTTGCATTAATTTTAGACGTTGCCTCCTCTTCATTTTTCTCTAGCATGAAAAGTTTTCTTCCTTTTGTACATTCACGTTTTCATTATGACCAAAGAATATTTCAATCTTTAAATAAACTCATGCACCACTTAAAACTGCTAACAGTAGAATAGTTGAAGGTTGAAGGAATTCTGATTGCAACAACTTACTATGGGATAGAAGTCTCCTACTAGAAGACTATTTTACACACTTTCATTTTTCTTAATTATTTCTGATATTTTGCCCATCATATACTGACCTTCAAAGCTATATATTTAAAACACTTCTCGGAAATTTCACAGTCTGAGAATGAATTGTCAAAAATAATTAAGAAAAATGGTGGTATATGCCCCTGACATAGGAATATATCTTTCCTAAAAATGTTGCTGCTTTTAACTGAATTTAATTTAAAGTCATCTCAAGAATTATGGAGCTATTAAATGAACGATTCCCGCAAAAGTAAAAACATCCAGAGCTTTAGACTAGATAGCTATAAAGAGAAAATGTTCTTCTCATGCACGCTATTATTTTAAATTTCTCATATTTCATGGAGAAGCATTACCAGACTCACCTGACTACAATTTACAAACATTTAAGCTCTAGAAGATTTTCAAGATCTTGCCCTGTCACATCACATGTATTTACTTTTCACCAAAAAGGAAAAGAGAACAAAAGAAAACAACTCAAGCCAAATCTGAATTCTCCAAGGCTCCTTTTCCAGGAATAAATACAACATCCCAAACAAAGCACAGTCTGTAAGAAATGGTCACACTCACCGTCTTCCTGTTATAACTGGCAAGACATCATTGGATTTGGCTTCTATTATTTTAAATGCTACTTTCTTCAAGTCGGAAATGCCAACAGCCATGTCCTCTAGCATTCCAATTTCATCACCTAAACAAAGAAAAAGGTGCCTCTTTACAAACATACTTATAAAGAAAAGGTCACGAGCTACTACCCCTTCTTGCTGGAATTTGTTCTAATATTTTAGTGAAAGGGTTTTTGAAGGTGGCATATTTATTCCACATACTGTTCCTCAACGGCTGAAGGTTTTCATCAGAGAAATAAGAACCTTTTCAATGGACTTTCTGGAAGTCCATGTACCCCTAGAGGGAAGAAGAATGCACACTTTTGCTCAGAGGCTACAGAGAGATTTTCAAACCTTTATAAAACAAACTATCATTTGGACATCTTTTTATCGACAGGACTGATATCTGATTTCTATACACAGAGATGACTGAATTGACCACCACTGCCCAAGGCCCCTGGTAGGTTTGTATCTACATACTCAAACTAAGAAAGCCTGAGAAAGAGATAGTTAAGTAGGACTCTGGATCATCTCTATCCAATAGAAACAGAATATGCACTATGTATATTATCACACATTTTCTGTCAGTCATATTTATAAATAAGATAAAAAAGTAACAGTAATTTTAATAATATGTTATTGAACCCAATATATCCAAAAGACCATTTTAACTGAAAAATCAATGTAGAATTTTTAATAACTACGTAAAATTTCCTTTTTTAAAAAACTAATCTTTGAAATCAAGATGCACATCTAGAATATATTGATTTGGAGTAGGCCTATTTCAAGGGCTCCATATCCATTGGAGAGTCCAGTAATGAATAGTGTAGTTCTAGATATTTCAGCGTTAGGATTTTCAAATCCACTGATTGAAAGTATGTTGGCAAAGAGCCTTTTATATTAAAAAAAAAGCCAGAAGGCTTCTCAGGAGTCTACTTTGAAATAATCTATAATTCTATTTTCAAAACATAATGGGATGTCAAAGTAAGTTACAAGGTGAAAGAATGTAAAAACCAGAAATTACATTATTTCTGTAATACTTGGCACAATATTGTTTTTATACTTCCCTGAAAAGTTGATGTGCTAAATATCATGGATAGGGATGTGATGGTAACATGTACTAAACAGTACTCACTGTATGTGCTCAGCAGTCCTTCATATTGTACTATCAATCCCACTGTATGAAGCTGCTGCAAGAAGTTGGGGTCGTGCAAACTCGTGTGTAATTTGATGATAAAACCACAAACCAATCCAGCAAGCTAAAAAAAAAAAAATCATTGAAGAAATTTACTGGGGTCAGCAATCTTATTAGTTCAATTTTAGAATAGTTTAGACTTTTAAGACATCACAGATTTAATTAAAAATTCTAACAAAGTTACTAGTCTTCATACATATATACATAATAAAATAAGTTGGCAGTCTTTGATCCATCAAGGCTCTGTATGAAAGTCTTGGGGAAGATAGTATTATAAAAGGGTAAATACATGGCTTTTGGAGTTTGGGTTTGTCATCAAATGTATGTATATGATTTCTACCAAGAAAACCACAAAAAGTTACTTAGCACTTCCAAACTGAATTAATTATTATTTGTGCATGCAGAATAGAGGCAATTATTTCACAGAGTCATTGAAAGGACACAACAAAGAACTATATAGGGAGTAGGGCATAATTCCTGACATGTGGTTAGCGCCATTGGCTGTGCACCAGCCACGAGATAGCTTAATGGTGGACAGAGACAGTTTGGTTAAAATTCTCCCATTGAATGGAATGCTTAAAAAGAGGCCTTTTGTCTCCTTCCCTGCATGTTTTCTGTTTATAAGACTCAACCCTGGGGGTGGAGGTAGTGGGAAAAAGGATGGCACCAGCATGAGGTGGAGTAGTGGGGTCCTATCAGAAAAAGAGCTAGTCCTGGTAAGCTCCTGGTTCAAGCCTTACTGCCCTGAAAATTTATTTTATAAACAAAATAAGGATTACAGTGAAATCCTGTCTTGGGAGTGATAGGGAAACTGAGTAAAGAGATACCTTTGCCCAGTCCTAGCTTGTCACCTGCAGGACGAGGCAGAGGTCCCTTCCCTGACATGTTAGCAGACCCCACAGCATAATACAAAGATGGATCACTCTTTCTTCAGTCTCTGTGCCCTGGTCAATGGAATGGACAGAGACTTGGCCATCTCAGTGTTTCACAAAGAAATACTGAAGGTGGTTTCATAAGCTACGTCTGCATGGTTTTCTGCTCATAGCTATCACAAGAAAAAAATATTGGTGTCCACACCTTAAGAAAAGGATCTTTAAAAATAAAGCTGCCAAAGGAAGAATTCTACCCTCATCAAAGAGAGGATGTGCACATGCAGCCCGGCTCTGTAGGAACAACCACGGGCACCTACTGCTTGGCTGAAGACGATGTCTCTGCGTAGAGTGAGTGTCAGGCACTGGGGCAAGCTGCAGGCGAGCTCCTGGAGCAGCACGAAGGTCAGCGACTGCTTGGCTCTGCTCACCACTTCTCCCATGCAGTCCTTCAGGGTCAGGACGAGGGGGCTCAACTGCTCATACCAGTCCTCTGGGGGAGTAAGAACCGTGGGATTCATGAAGGGAGGTCTCAGTGCATAGAACCTATTCATGATTTCTTTCAGCACAATTAAACATACTATAAAGGGTTCATAAAGAATAAAGATTAATTCTAGTGACTCCCCTGAACTCCAAAAGTCTATAGCCAGCGACCCTGTGGATCTCTCTCATTGAAGGTATTGCACACACTCACATGCCTCCTTTGCTGAATGCTCATCTCTAACTTGGGCACTGCCAATATCTTAGTGGAAGATGCCATGGGACTGTTCGTATGCTAGAAACAGAAATTTTACTAGACTTCTTCCATAGGTGGTCATTCAATTAGCTCTGTAATGTGTAATTGCTTCCCTTTCCCTGCTTATTTCTTAACTGATCCCCCTTCCTCCAGCCATAGTCTGCTCAAATCCGCTCTCTATAGTGTTGCTAGGAGCTTTCTGATCAGTTTGAAGCCAATCACTCACTCTTGCCTCCTTACTTAAAAACAAAAAAAAAAACATTAAAACATTCAGAAAAAAGTCCAGACTCATGACGGATCCTCTATTGTCTCTTCTGCCTGTCCAATCCCATCTCTCAGAGCTTCATGTGCAGTCTTGAGCCCAAGTTAAGTGAAAAACACATTCTCCTTAAACTGTGTGGCTCTCACACCTGTGATTTTGCAAACCCTATCTCCCCTCCTAGAACACTTTCTGGCCTGGCAAGTTCTTTTTCACCCCTGAAAATGTCACCTAGGCTCTCCCTCCTCTAGAAGTCTCTTGGGTTCCCCCTCCTCCTGGGCCCATGCCCTTGAAGTCTGGTGGCATTCACTTCCTCCTGTGCCCACAGCTCCTGGCCCTCCCTGCTGGGACCACTTGCATATTGTTTTCCTCTACAAAAAAGTGAGTTCACAGAGGGGAAGGAATTTACTTTTTAATCACTGAATCCTGAGAACCCAGCACAGTGCCTAGCATGGAGCAGATGCTTGAGTTTGAGTTGAATGAGTAAAGTTACACTAAATATAATAAAAGCTTCTTAACATGTACAGGAGATTGAGAAAGTCAAGTTTTGACAATATTAGGGATTCACGCAGCTTTTCTTCAAATATGGATTAAAACTGAAGCCATCTGTGCTATTTGTATGTCTCTATTTCTAACATATATCATTTATACAATCATGTCTTTACATCATATACCAAAGCCAAGTGATATTCTATTTCAGTTTGTTTGGAGAGCAAAGCCCTGACAACTGTCAAATATAAATTTTGGGCTGTATGACATCCCATTAACGTACAAATAAATTAACACCAGGGTGACAAATACAATTTAATATGAAGGAGTACAAGCTGCAAAATTAATTATGGAGCAGGTTTGAGATGATATGATCTTCTCAGCACAAAAGGAGAAGCATCATCATGAATGATGTGAGTGGTCGATAACCAGTTAGACCTTGAAATAGTTACAGGGAATGATGAAAAGAACCACGATCGTTGTTGTACCACGTCTCCTGCCACTTACTTATTTTATGTTGTGGTGTAATAGACTAGATGAAATAAACCTAAGTAGTTGAAAGAATAATTAATGACTCTAACATAATAAAAAGATATGCTCTTATTAATGCTTTATGCAAATGCCTGTGTGATGTCATAATATAAAGAACATTAGGAATGCTAGGGGTTATTATTGCTAAAACATTGTAGCTTTCATATAATTCTAGGAATGACAATAATGGAGAAAGGGGAATTCACAAATATCTATTAAATCTGTAACCATTTAATAAAGAACACACACCTAGGATGAAATATGAATAATGGTTCAATTCAGACAAGCATTGACTATTAATTCTTACATCACTGTTATGTGTAAAATGGAACATAGAGTTGCATCATTATTTCCAGAAGAAAAGACAGCGGTAGACACCAATGAGGAAAGGCCTGCATTTTTACGTTTTTCCTGTTTGCATTGTATCTCTTTCTGTCTCTCACTCTCTCTAATGTTGCTTCTAATACAAATGAGGACACTGAAACACACACACAGAGAAATGGTAGGGAAAAAACTTCAACTGACCCAGATTAGATGTTAACTGATAAGAGCCTGTGAACCAATTTGTGTGTGTGTGTCTGTCTGTCTGTCTGTGTGCGTGTGTGTGTGTGTGTGTGTGTGTGTGTGTGTGTAGAGATCAGTTTCTGCTCAAGGGCTTCAGCATAAAGTCAGGCTTTTGGGCAGTAGGTGGCGCTGCTTTATCAGGCTGAGGGAGAAGTACTTGGTCACTCATTCCATTCAAGGAAATGATTGCCACTATTTTGGACACTTGCATAGTCCCCAAACAGCATGATCCTTTGTTTAAGCACCTAGCGTATTTTCCTGTGTCTGGAGGGCAGTAACTTGGTCATGAACGGGATATACCCCTTCTAGTTTGAAAATTAAAAATTAACTTAGGGGTCCACTTTTTTCCCCTTGAAAAATATTAACTGACAATTCAAAATAAACAGAGCCATTGGTTTTTCTTGATTGTCTTTAAAAGAGGAAACTTTGCAGACTTCCTTAATAGCATTAGGATATTACTTCCCTCACTCTTAAATCCATAATCATGATTCTTTAGCCAGTTGACTCTTCATCACAAATTGTCATTGGATAACCAGAGAGAAAGACCATGAGACTAATTCTGATTTGCAGTCCCACTAGAATAGGGGTAAAAACCTGGAACAAAGAAATGCACTGATATTCTAAACCTATAAACAATGTTAGATACTTCTGATATAAGCAATATTTTGCTATCCCAATTTAGCATAATTATATATACTTTATATGGCAAAAATTTAAGGAAAATGACTACATAAGAAATATTAATTATGAATGAGAAAATTACAAGGATGTGAACAAGATATAATGTCTTCAAGATAGTACTATGCCAGGGCTGAGGGCTGGGGACATAGCACAGTTGGTAGAGTGCTTGCCTCGCATGCACAGGGCCCTGGGTTCAATCCCCAGCACTACAAAAATAAATAAATAAATAAAATAAAAAAGATAGTACTATGCCTCCTATGCAGTAGTCTCTGTAAATGAGCAAGGTAAAGATGAGAATTTTCTAGAAAAAGAAACAGCTAAGTTCAGCAGATAAAGGAAAACTGCACCCACAAATGCCAATTGCAACAGTGACAGGTTTTCTTCTCTGGCAACATTCTCTAGGTAAAAATCTCAGGTTTTGAAATAAACACAATGGGGTATGACAGGCCAAGAGAGCCTGAAGTCGGTTCGTAAATGGTCTTCTTGCTCCAGTGAACATTCCAAATCACTGGCACAAAGACCTGAAAATTCTGCTGCTTTCTTTTAAAAAGAAAATGTTTGGGGACAAAGAAGAAAGCTCCAGCTCTGGACAGTCTTGAGACTCTTGTGACATGTCCCTCAAGTCTGTCCATCTGTATCCTTCCTCCTGCACTGTCACACATGAACAGGTCGAGCCATTACCTGATAAGGATGAAGATGGTGGTCATTTTTGCACTATCTCATCAAAAGTCAGAAATTGTGAAACACACATAAGCCGCACTTGAGAGTTTAATTTCTTCCAGTTTCAGGGAAGATTCTGTGCTTATGACTCTCTCTCTCTCACACACACACACACACACACACATTTTGTGATATGGCAGCTAAGGGCGCACACACCATGAGGTTGCCCCTCACCTAACCTCTCACACAGCTCATCGGCCTAGCTGGCACTTAATGTGATTCTCTCCCCTGGGCTCCTTTCAGTGCCAGAGGAAAATATGAAGAAAATGTTTTAGTGTCTCTATAAAAACTTGCTGAGACTCCTTAACCCCGAGACCAACAAGCAGAGTCTTTCCTCAGGAAAACATAAAATGCATGTGGCTTAGCTGAGCTTTTCCTGAGCTTTGTAAAGGGAGTTGGAAGCCATCCAAGCAGAGCTCTGTTTTCTAGCCCTTTCCTCGCTGCTCTAACATATTCAAGTGAAGCTCACTGAAGGATTCAAAGAATGACTGCCGGGTGCCCCCTCTCCTCCTCCACACACCATCTATTTTCTGTACAGGATGTTCCCGTCCTCTGAGCTCAATGGCTCTTACATTGCTCAGGAGAAAAATAAAAGAGCCAAATATCAACCAACTGTAGCAGAGCGGAATACCTTCTTTCCAATTTCTAAGCCATTTTCTTCTTAGGTGTTTGATCTTCTTTCCTCATTTGAAATAATTAACTTCACAAAAGCTTGTAGCCCTACGTCATATTTGTTGTCACAACTTTTCAGACATAGGAAGAAGAAATGCTGAAAGACTGCACATCCATTAGGCTTTATGTAAAGAGACAAGAGGAGAAATGCTCCCAGTTCAGAAGATTCACCTGGGTAAGGAGATGATGAACTGTGAAGCCAAATGATTAGAACTGCCTCAGAGGAGAGTGAAAACACTCCCAATGTCCTGAGGTAGACACAGACCAAATCCACAGCCAATGGGGGTTTTACTGTACATCCAAAACCCAGGTCAGCACAGAGATGACAAAGGTTCAAGTTTGAGGGGTGGGGTGAGGGAGATAGACAACACGTTCACAGAGTTATTGCTGACTTTAGTCTATGCCTTATATCAACCCAGATATGGTGATGTAAGTGCCCCTCTGAGCGATAGCCCTCTCTTGCAGGTATAATTTTACAATGTGAAAATCACTGTAAAATTCATGAAGGTGAACACAGAAGGGTCAATTATTGATAAGACCTCCTCTGCAGATAGTTTAGAGCTAAACTTCTTTGTGTGGGTTTAATGCATGTGGCCAGCTTTGGTCATAGCTTCTAGATACCTGCACATAGGAGGTCTCTTAATGCCCAGTCATCTCCAGAGAAACTATGCTAACAACACACCAGTAATCAGGGAAAGGAAAGCACCTGCTGGGATTTTGCTGCTTTGAACATTTTGCTGCTCATTCAAAACCCCCTCCACCAAGCCCTCCTGACTTTTTCCCTATCTTCATGATCCATCTCCTGCTTAGATCCCCCAGGAACTGAAAAAGCAACTTTATT